CCCATGAACTATTGAATCATAAATTCTAGGTGTGGGTTTTGGTGCTATTTCTTAACATCTTTCTAGCTTCTGAGTACTAGGATTATAGATGTTTATTCCCATCCCCGGTTTATGCAATGCTTGGGATTGAACTCAGAACATGATACTGCCAGATGAGTCCTATCCCCAACCCTGAAACCCTGAGTAAGAATATGTTTCAAAAAATTTGAGATTCAATAACAGTTGAATTGATAGGACAACTTGATATTTAGATAAAATTAAAGTAAATCCTAAGTACATTTTTGTTTGACATTTTTATTGATATTGGTATTTTTGAGTTAGAATGAAAAATAATGAAATACAAAATAATCTCTCTATGACATTTTAATGCAAGCATATTGTGATTAATTCATACTTACCTCCTCTTAGCCTTCCTTGGTTTAGTTCCCCTTTTCTCGTTGTCCCTTTCTTTCTGAAAAACATATATTGAACATTTGTAGTTCTTTCCCCAATTAATCTCTTTTATCCTACCCTTATTCCCCTTTTAGACCCCTTCATTACTTGACATGTCCAGCCATTGACTTTCATGTATATAGATAAAATTAAATATATGATGTTAACTAAAAATTATAGAATAAAAGCATTTCAAGGAAGGCAAGTATATAAATAATAATGGAAATCTTAGGTTGGAACCAAATAATGATAGGATTCATTAGGGCATTTGAATTTAATTCTACATTAAATAGAGTGAAATCAATTATTTAATATGGCTCTTTAATAAAAAAATTGTTTTATGACATAATCTGGATTCTGCATAGGAAAAAACCATAGTATTTGTCAAAGTCTAGCTAATTTTTTCAACATGCCTCTTCATTTTCCTGTAGTCCATATAATTTCACTCATGTATAAATGAAACCTTTATGTATAAGTACTATATTTTCATTATCCATTTATCTGTTGATGAGCATCATGACTAGTTCCATACCTTGACTGTTGTGACTAGTGCTCTAAAAGAAGGAATGTGCAAATTTCTCTGGGAATATAACAAAGGATTGGTATATTAAATCTACTTCAAGAGTGAATCATCACTCATGTTTTATAATTTCTCATTTCACATATTTCAATTTTATATACATTAATCTCAGAAATTCAATACTTTCATGTTATCATAGCAGAGAGAATTTCCCACTGATGATAATTATAGATAGTAAGGTTGAATCTCCACCTCTTATCAGGAACAGCATTACTTAAACTTCAATGTAATAGATCAAATGTCTGCTGTATTGGTAGCAAATGCTAAGTTCAGCCTTTAATGCCCTTTGGTTTTGAGAGATGGGCCTTCTCTTTATGTATCTATGGCCACTTTTCTGTTTCAAGCCTCAAGCCTACAACTGACTGCTAATTGATATACCCATGTTGAATCACTCATTTCTCTCTAATGTAAATTCTAATACCCTAAAGTAGCTTGTCAATATTTGATTCCATTCTGAGCCTTCCATTATTATTTATATTCCTGCCTGGCTTTAAATATTTTTATGGTTATTTTTATTAATTTTTAAAAATGTGTATTAATATTTTTAGTTTATGCACAAAGGAAGGTGTTTCATCTAGGCGTTTTCTTGTACATTGTTCTCATTTGTCCTCCTTCCCCACTGCCCTCCTCTGTGCCTGTGCTTACTATGGTTGGTTCTCTGCCACCCCTTGACAATAATCCCCCGTCTGCATCCTTGTCTCTCTTTTCCCCCACCCCTCCCTTAAGATCTCTTCCTCCTCTTTCACAATCCCCTTTCTAGCTTGATGATCTGCACACATACGTGCCTGCATATGCACATACATATACACAGGTATATACTCATACATATAATTTTAAATCTGGGTTCCACATATGCCAGAAAACATACAGTATTTGTCTTCTAGAACCTTGCTTATTTCACGTAGCATGATTTCCAGTCAGTCCATTTTCCTGCAAATGTCATTGTTTCATTTTTATTTATAGCTTAGTGCCATTGCTTACATCTATTTTAAAGTTTAGACAAGACTTATTATCTATAATTTTCATCCTAATTCCCTCAGAAAGAATGTACTGTATGTACTGTACCCTCGTACATCTTTTATCACCTGAAACATTTTGGTCTGGGGATTATAGATTTTTTTCCATACAAGTAATATCTCCCTTACTCAGTTGTACTCTCCTTGGAGTTAGTGATTAGTCATTTCCAACATGTATAACAGTTGTGTATATATAATGGAAACAATCAAGTAAAACAAAGGTATAGGCACCCACTCCACCAAAGAAAACATGGCAGTTTATTTCAATTTCACTTGCTCCCAGTTTCCTAATTCAGAATGCACAAAGTACTATTTACTGTATACATTTGTGTTAAGGTCTAAGGGTTTAACATGAAAAGATCTGCAATTATATTCACCCTTTTTTGTCTATTTCATCCCAGAATATGTAACGTAATAGTTTGAAGCTAAGCTTAATTAATATCAGTGAAGCTAAATCATGTTGGAATATATGGAGGATATGAACTAAAGTATTGTCACATGGAATTTGAAGGAAGAAGTGATAGGAAAGAATATTATAAGTTAGAGTTGTTAGGAATCAGTGATTCCATGAAGAGAATAGCTGAGATTTTGACCTGGGTATATTATATCATTTGGTAAACAAAAATAGACCAAACAATGTTTGAAAAAATAAGTTAAAGACAGTAAGTCTTAACAGTACTAATTTAAATACAGTAAACATAGGTTTACTAAGGAAAAAAAAAAAACACTCAAGAATGGAAGGGATGGGCTCCCAGATGGGGAATGACAGTTTCTACTTCAAGAAATTTTCCTTCATTGGTAATGTTATTTTGCCACCCAGGGAATTCCTGTTCAAAAATTTGTGGCAGGCCACATGATTTGATCCTCTAGAAACCTCACTGCTAGTTTCCTTGTGTACTTTCCTGTTTAGGTCAGCAAATGGTCAGGCCCACATTCTTGGGATTGGCCCTGAAATCTGAATCCAGTGTGGTAGACTTATTAGTCAGTTATTTAGGGATAGGCCCAGAACCTGGGTCCTTTAAGGGTGGGCTTGGAGCTTGGGTGCACAAGGATGGACCTGGAACTTGTACCGTCACTGAACATTCTGAAGAATGGGGACTTCAGTTCCTGGGGAATGACTAGGTATATAAGGGCTTAATCTAGGTCTTGAAGCTCCAGGAGTCAGCCAGGGAACTGGTTATATAAGATTGATGCTGGAACCTGGGTATGTGGAAGATGTCCAGTCTGAGGTCTATGGGACAGACCTTAACACTGGTCTTCTAGAACATGGGACTGCAGGGTCTAGAATGGAGGGTGACACTTCAGGTATTAGCCTAGAGCTATAATGTCCTGGTTGGCACTGTGGCAAGCAAAGATTCTGTCTACAAGCTTGTATCCACAATAGCTTGCTTGAGGTTGTGGTCCATGTAAGCTGGTCTGATGGACCAGTTCTTACAGGAATCAGACTGATTGTCAAGCTAGCCTGAAACCCTAGGCTGTTGATGTCAATCTGGTGCTAAGAGGAGGGTGGCCAGACATTAGAGCAGCCTGGAAACTAAAACTATTGCACAACCCTAGAGCCTGAAACAGCAGGATCCAAAGAGTTCCCAGAGCTCTCTTGGAAACTCAAATCTGTAGACACCTGGCTGATTAGTCTGGAGCTTTTGGGTGCCTTCTATGTGCTAAATTTTAACAAAGTGTGCCCACTATTAGGGTTCAAAGTAAAACACAATTTTCATTACCTGTTTCTTCTTCACACACAAAGTGTCTTCCTTCATTTTCTTCTTCCTAGGATTGGGTAAGGAATGATACAGGTAAACAAAAGTTTCCATCTTATGCTATTCGATATATTTTATTTCTGAAAGACATTCAGATATTATGTTCTACAGCCTTAACTACTACTGCAAAGGTATTTTGTGAATGGATAATTATTTAAATGGAGGTCCTACCATTTTGCTGGTATCCTCACCATATATATAAAGCCCAACATGCTTTTTACAAAACAAGAGTTATAGTGAGTAAAATGTTAAGTCTTCTTCTCTTGTCTGCCCCACTTTCCGGAGCAAAACATGTTTAAATTTAGTCTAGATCATTCTGTAACTTTCTATGTGTGTATGTATGTATATTTCGTGTTATCATTGTTAGAAATTGAGTATATTGTATTTTAGTAAAGCTTTTATTTATTCAGTATATGACCCATGAAAGTGAGTGTTGAGCCAGGCGTTGGTGGCACACGCCTTTAATCCCAGCACTCCGGAGGCAGAGGCAGGCGGATCTCTGTGAGTTCAAGGCCATCCTGGTCTCCAGAGCGAGTGCCAGGAATAGGCTTCAAAGCTACACAGAGAAACCCTGTTTCAAAAAACCAAAAAAAGAAAAAAGAAAGTGAGTGTTATACAAACTTGCTCATTTAAAAAGCCAAATTAGCAGCAAAGGTTTGATTATTTTAATTAATAACCTATAGATAAACCAATAAACATTGACAGAAGAATCCACTGAAGCTGTTAAGAACATTAGATGTAAATGTGGACTTAAAGTGTAGATATAAAACTATCGGGTGTGTGCTCTTTATTATGGACACAGGAACTACAGCATAAATTTCCGGATTGTAGTATATGAACATTGCTTTATATATTTGGAGGGAGACTTATGTGAAATTTATGTGAAATTTGTGTGTTTACAAATAAGTGCCCTGGTATTTTTGTAATGATGGAAGAAATTTGCCCTTGTGATTTTTAAATAACACTGGAGCCATATCTCATATAGCAGTCTTATAAACCTTAGGATTGTATTATATTTTTAGGATTGTTTTCTGTAAAGAAAAAATATCAAAACTATCTTTTTAATTCAGCCTTTCATTACTGCTTCCTTAAATCATTCTGTGAAGTTTCCTGAAGTTACTTGTGTCCATTTAACTAATGTTACTGCCTGGACATCATTAAATGGCATATTTGAGGAAAGGGCTGTTACTGCATACTCCCGAAAATTTGATTAATTCAAACTTCATTGATATGGTAGTTTTTTTCTTTACTTTATTAATAGATGCCACCTGTGATGGACAAGAAAGATCTGCATATTTTACAGATGATTTTTGTCAAGCATGTGGAGTGGTACTGCATCTTGAATCAGAAAGGATTTCACATTATGAGGTTGGTTAAATACAGTGGGAACAAAGATGAGAAAACATATTTTTAAGTGTAGCAAGTCAGCTTCATATAAGTCACCTTACTTGATTAATTTAAGAACCTGAAACGTGGTAACACTTCCATTTGACAGACAAGAATATTGGCTCAGGAAAAGAGAGTCACATACAAATTTAAGTTTATGGAGTCCAGATTAAACTCATTGGTTTTGACCACAAAGTTCCTTTTCTTCACACCATTCTGTCTCCCTTTGTATTCTCTGTTATTGTAGTAAATATAATGTAGGTATTAGCAACTTTGAGCGATGCTGTAGAACTCCTAGAGTATTCATGTATAATAAATGTAGACTATTGATTTGGCTTGTCAGCTTCCTGCCTTTGAAATTGAGAGAGTCATAAGCCTCCCACCCATCCCCAGATCCATTGACAGTTAGCAGTTGCTAGGAGAAAGGAGATCATGAGGCCTCATCACTCCCTGTGCAGCTATTGGCAATTGATGGTTGCTGGGATGGGAGAGATTTTTGGCAGTGATATAGTCCCTGATAAGGTGCTCATAATCCTGTAAATATCTTTTACTAATCTTCATGTAAGTTTTCCTTATGAAGACAATTGTGGCACATATAAAAAGACATGAAAGTAGAAGGGTTCATCAGTTGGGAAGAGGGAATTAGCAGGCACTATAGAAGAAAAGAGATAATGTAATATAATGAAAATATATACATGCATGAAAATGTCATAATGAAACCTATTATTATGTTTAACAGAAAAATACTGACTTCTAAGTTGTAGAGTCATTCATTTTAATTTGAACTGAAGTTTAGAGTGAAACTCTTTATAGTTATTGTAGTCATGGGTTGAGGATGTAGCTCAAAAGTATGTCACTTGCCTAGCCTATTCAAGGCCCTGATCTCAAAAAAAAAAAAAAAAAGGTTTACTAAGTCTGCTAAAATTGATCTCTCATGCCGAGTGGTGGTGGTGCTTTAATCCCAGAACCTGAGAGGCAAAGGCAGGTGGATCTCTGTGAGTTCAAGGCTAGCCTCTGTTACACAGAGAAATCCTGACTCAAAAAAAAAATTGATGTCTCCTGACCTCACATTCAGAAAGGTGTATATTTTAGGTGTATATTTAGTGTTAAATAAACAAAGTCACATCTTTTTTTTTCAGAGTGAAATACATGCTCAAAATGTTAAGTTCTATTTTCAAGTGCATGGGGAACAAAACGAAGTGCCTGGTACAAAAGTGAACATGCATGTTGAGAATTCTCAGGTGAGCTGTCTGTGTTGAATATTATAATTCTGATCTGTCAGTTTTTTAATCTTTCAAAAATAAAAAGATTGTGATTTTTACAGGTGTACAAGAGTGGAGAAGTCAACAGAAACAAATTCAGTGGTTTCTGCAACATGAGTTTTGACTCCTCAGCTGTTGCTCAATCTCATTATGTGGGACAGAGCCATCCACAAAATCAGAAGCAATTACTGGAAGAACATGATAGAGAATCTCCATCAGGTTGTCAACCAAAGATGGGTAAGATTCTTTTTATCTCTTTATCTCAGATACAAACTCTATCTTTTCCCCACACTGTACCATCCCTTTTGGGGAGCAGACTTTCACTACAGTTCAAACAACTTGAATGTTCTTCTGCTCAGTAAATCGCTTTCTGTGTCCTTGCCTGTGGAGATAATTGTTAACTAAATTTTAAGAAATATTATGGTCACTATTCGTTTCACTAAATCCACATAAAGCAAGTGACTGCTATATGTGATAAATAAAAACAAGCAGCTAGAGAAATAAAAACCCTTAGATATTTTTATTATACCCCCCTTGGTATAATCTTTTGATTACTACTTTCTAAAACTTCATCTCACTTCTTTATTCAGATCAGTGTCTTCACTACAGTATAGTTATATACTATACTATGTGTGCTGCATAGTATGTTTATCCCCTGGAGAAGGGGAAAGGGACAAGATCTGCCGAGCTAATTGGGAACACGGGCAGTGGGGGGTGGATCTAGGAGAAAGAGAAGGGGAGAAGAGGAGGGGAGAGGAGGACATGAGGTAACAGGAAGATTGAGTTGGGGGAAGAATAGAGGAGAGCAAGAAAAGAGATACCATGGTAGAGGGAGACATTATAGGTTTAAAGAGAAATCTGACACTAGGGAAATGTCCAGAGATCTACAAGGATGACCCCCAACTAACAATCTAAGCAATAGTGGAGAGGCCTCCTTAAATTTCCTTCCCCTGTAATGAGTTTGATGATTACCTTATATGCCATCCTGGAGCCTTCATCCAGTAGCTGATGGAAGCAGAAGCAGAGATTCACAGCTAAACACTGAGCCAAACTCCTGGAATCCAGTTGTAGAAAGGGAGGAGTGATGAGCAAAGGGGTCAAGACCAGGCTGGAGAAACCCACAGAAACAGCTGACCTGAACAAGGAGGAGCTCATAGACCCCAGACGGATAGCTGGGAAACCAGCATAGGACTGACCCAGACCCCCTGATCGTGGGTGTCAGTTAGGGGGCCTGGGCAATCTATGGGGCTTCTGGTGGTGGATCAGTATTCATCCCTAGTGTACAAATGGACTTTGGGATCCCACTCCACATAGAGGGATACTCTCTTAGCCTAGACAC